CTTTCTTATCGTCTTTTTCTTCACTGAGAGTCACTGAAGCCAGATCTGTGTCCCTATCCTCCATTGGGTACTTTCCATGATTGAACTGGTAACGAGAAGCTTTGCGAATCCCAGCTCTTCTGCTTGGTCGATGGACCCTTTCCCTTTGAAGCATGGTGAGAGGTGGGTAGGAGCTTCTGCCCATTAACGTGGCGTTCCTCTGAAGTTCATTGAGGGTGGTCTGATGGATATACAGGCCATTGGAGAGGTGGCCTTCAGGAATGTAGTGACTTTCTTGAAAACTAGGAGAGCAAGCTGGGACATCAGGATAAGGGAGAAAGCCCCTGAGTTTTAGAAGACTTTTTCGCTGAGCTTTTTCGAGTTCTTTTTGTTGAAATATGGCACTCATTTCCATCCTAAGTAAGGATCATAAGCATTACACCATAACTGAAAATGAAATCTTTATCTACCAATAGGTTACAACATATAAAGTTGGAACGTTAGGCATCGTAGAGGTAAAAATTGAGTCCTTGAAGACATACAGTTTGTGGAGATGAAAAGTGTTGAATCTTTTTCAATCAAAGGACTGCATTACCCCACTGATAACCTCAGAGGGTACTTACTAGAAGTAGGCAAGGACCAAGATCACCCACACTTCATCATTTACACACACATCCATTCACAAACATCCTTGAATACAGCAAAATTCTTGATGTCTACATGGATCCATCCATGAAGTTTTCCAGCAACAATATGGAAGCAGGATTACAGAAATATTTTTTAGACTTCCCTGTTTAGCGTCTGGTTCAAGAAATTCTAGGTGGTCTCCCATCCAAATAGTAATCAAGGCTAGTTTAGGAATCCAGCCAAAGTGCTAGATACTACTACCTCCTGAGATACATACCACAATAATCATGTTAACAAAATCTATATAATGCAGCAAGAGATAGATTTATACTAGTAGCCAATGGACAAAGATGAAAATATAGAAAGATTGCCTGTAATTTAAATAGCAATACCATCCATATAACCACAGTTTGGATGACAGTAACTAATTGACCTATAAGCTATCTGACATTCTAACTATGATTTGTTTAATCAGGATTAATTGAATAAACCGCTGGTGTAAACATTCGTACAAACAACAAACTAGGTGATAAGCCTTAAATTATGACTTAGCATGTAAATTCTAATAATTGTGATTTAGTTCATTTTACCTGGCAATATTTTGTTTCTGAACCAATTCTTGTCTTTTGGCTACTGCTTCCATTGATTCGGATTGAAGGAAACTATATCCTAGTAATTGAATGAATGAACGAACATAATTGAAGATTACTTTTAGCATCATTCACTTGTTTAAAACTGGATTAATATTCATAAACAAAGAAAAAGCCCACAGTGCAATCTTACAGTTAAGGACGCAAGGTTAAATCCAGTTCAAATCCAGATTAATATGTATAGGTAGTCTTCGACTTATGACTTTTGCTTAGCAATCATTCAACGATATGGTTTCCCCTGGAGTACTTATGACCCAGTTCTAAAGTTCTTATGCTCATTCCTCCTTCAGTCACATGACTGCATTTTGGGTGCTTGGCAATTGATTGGCATTTATGATTGTTTGCCGCATTTCATGGTCCTGTAATTGCGTTTTACAACTTCTTTGTTGAAAACTGACATTTACTTTCATTTTTTGGAGAAAAATGGCCCACAACGAACAATTGGTTCACTTAAATGACTGCTACAGAAAAGTTTGTTAAAGCAGGTTGTTCACATGGGTGATCCATTTTATGATTGTCATGACTTACAATCATAAAGGGCAGGCTCCATTACGGTCATACATTGAGGACCACCTGTATGACTCCGAACTGAAGAAACTATGGCTGGTTAGTTCAGCATAATTTTTAAATTCTTCCTTTCATCTGCTCCAATATTGGTTTTCAATATGCTGATAGATTAGCAATATTCTGTTAATGTAACCTTACAATAAAGCAGAATTAGCTCCCTTGGTTGTGATTCTTATTTGATGTACTCGGTGAGGCTGGCAGCTACGTACATGACTATGCATACTTTGAAAATGATTCGGAAGAAACCACTCCACACAAGCAAAGTACCAGCAAAGGAGGAAAAAAAACTCCAGAGAAGTTCCAGAGACAGGAAGTCTAGTCCTGCCAAGAATGTAATAAGAGTTAATGGAGAGGCAGTTTCTGTAAGCAACACCAGAATGTTTCCTTCCTGCGTTCCTTACAGGATTAGCCCAGTAATTCCTTCTAACAACCGGTTCTCCGAACTGCTTAGAATGTTAACAACCGGTTCTAGCGAATAGGTGCGAACTGGTAGAATCCCACCCCTGCTCATAAGCTTCTGTTAACAAAACCTTACAATAAAGATGGGGCTTGTATTCCTAGATGTACTTCTTGTACTTCTTGCAAGGCTAACATTATTATCTGCATGGTGGTAAAGTGGTTAGGATGCAGTGTTGCAAGTTAACTCACTGCTCACTGCCAAGAGTTCGATCCTGACTGGGTCAAGGTTGACTCAGTTTTCCCTCCTTCCAAGATCAGTAAAATGAAGACCCAGATTGTTGGGGGCAATATGCTGTCTCTATAATCCGCTTGGAGAAGGCTGTAAAGTGGTATATAAGTTAAATGCTATTGCTATCTATTTAATGCGCAAAATGAAATCAGGGGCCTTTAATCAGTTTAGAGACTCAGTGCAAGTTTTTCCATGCACACCCCTACTGTTTAACACAATCAACTCAGCTCTTCAAAAAATGACTCAGATCAAAAGAGAAATTTGAATCAGGCCTTGACATCAATAGTTTTCCTACTGCTACTGACTATTTACTTACATAGTTACTTATGATATCTCTCTTTCTTACCTGGTCCTTGGGAAACGCAACTAGATAATAAGTTTGGGAAGTTGGCAAGTTGTGAGGTGGGAGGTTCAAGAGTGGAAGCCACATGAATCTGTCTGAGATCAGCTGGTGCCAAGATCTCAGATGTAGGTAACAAATGGCTAGGAAAGCAAAGAAGACAGCTAATGAAAGTGTCTTATGGGAAACACTGAAGTTCTGTGTAAGAAATTTCCTATATATGAATCAGGAAAAGAGAGCAAACAGCCTATAATGCACAGTACTGAGAATCTTGAAACAGAAAGTTGTAGGTATAAAAAAAACCCACCTGACCATTTTCACAAGTAATTCTGACCCTGAATTTAAAAATTGATAATATATTTGGATTTAATGTACATATCAAGGACTAAATGTCGATTAGCCATTTTAAAGCCTTAAGCAAAACATCTATATTAGTGGTTTAACATTTAAAAAAAAAACAAGTAGGCAAATGGAGTTGTTTGGATCAAAATATGAAAGCATATGCTGTCCGTTCTGTCTCTTTGGTATGAGTGAGCAACATCATTATATATGTCCAAAGGGCATGGTGCTTGTATTGTGACAAGTGTGCCCACTATTTTTGTTATTTGTCCTTCCGCTCTGAGGAGGAACCATATTCCAAATTGATCTGACAGTTATGTATGGCTACTGTTCACACAGGGAAAGAAACACTTGTGGAGCCAATAGGTAACCTTTTCTGGAAGAAAAGAGTATAACAGTATTTTTCAACCTTGGCAAGTTTAGGATATGTGAACTTCAAGTCCCAGAATTCCCCAGCCAGTATGTTGAGAAACACAGTCTGTAGTGAAAAGAGTGCTAGAACAGAATTTAGATTTTACAAGTAGTGTAAATTATAACCACAATTGGGATGAGAATTTCCATCACTAAACAAGGTGTTAAGCAAAATCAGCATCCCTCATTGACTTTGTCAGAAGCTCCCTGGGATGGTTGCAAATGGCTATCACATGACTCTGGGAAGCTGCAATCCCTGTAAATACATGCCAGTTGCCAAACGCCAACATTTGGAACATGTCATCCTAGGGACACTGCGACAATTTTAAGTGCAAGACCGGTCATAAACCCCTTTTTTCACTGTTATAACTTCACAGTCATTAAACAAATAATCATAAATCAAGGACTACCTCTGTTGACTTCAGATATATTGAACATGTTGGCTGGTAATTGTTGGCACTGCTGCCCAATACATTTGAAGGAAACAATTTAAGGAAAGGTGTCCTTGAAGTTTTGTCTTATTTCTACACCAGGGGTGGGGAACTATGGACCCTTTATGACTTGTGGGCTTCAACTCCCAGAACTCCTGAGTCAGCATGAGCATGGCTGGCTCAGGAATTCTGGGAATTGAAGTCCACAAGTCATAAAAGGGCCATAATTCCCCAGCTCTGCTCTACATGTTCTATTATATACAGACAACATCTTTTCTTTCATCTAGTAGCTAGGAGTACCTTTCCACAAACCGAGATTCCAACTGTGAAGGAATTGTCTGCATTCCATGCTGGCACATTAATGGTGGGTGTCCTGTCATGAACTGGCTCCTCATTAGGATTTCTTGTTGCTGCCTCAGATCTAAAACAAATCATATAATATTGTGCTAACTCTCGTTTTTTCAGGACATCACTCTGACTTTCCTTCTGGGCCTCAGTCATGATGCTGGCTTTAACACAGTGCTTCCTAAACTTTTCCCTTCATTACCTAAAATCTCTTATCTGAAAGTTTTATTGAACTTTGAGGAATGCTCATAAACCCTTTCCTTCAGCAACGTTGTAACTTTGACCCAAGGGTGGGCTGCTACTGGTTCTCCCTGGTTCGGGCGAACTGGTAATTAATTTTACGGCCAGTTCAGCGAACTGGCAAATCCCTCCCCAGGATGGCCCTGCCCACCCCTCCCCTCCCAGGAGTCCCCATGAGGCCCGTTTTGGATCCCAGATAACTGTCTTTATATTATAATTTTGGATTCTATCCAGAGGTGGTATTCAGCAGGTTCTGACCAGTTCTGAAGAACCAGTAGTGGAAATTTTGAGTAGTTCAGAGAACAGGCAAATACCACCTCTGACTGGCCCCGCCCCCATTTATTCTCTGCCTCCCAAGTCCCAGCTGATTGGCTGGGTCTTCTTTTGTTGCCCTGCACAGGAGAATGGAGCTGGAAAGCAGGTTAGTGGGGTGGGGAGAGAATGGAGATTTTGCAGTATCCTTTCCCTGCCATGCTCACCAAGCCACGCCAGCCAAGCCACGCCGTACCCACCAAGCCACACCCACAGAACCGGTAGTAAAAAAATTTGAATCCCTCCATTGATTCTATCTATTGTATATGGTATTTTTGAAAGAAATCAGACAGATGGGAAAGCAGGATGGTTGTTTTTTGTGATAGCTTTCAAAATTTGAAATTAACAACTTTGAGTCCAAATCCTGCCACATGTTGATAAAGAAAATCTGTTAGAACACGAAGGTGGGAGAAAGAAGCCTGATTTGAATCCTGGAGCTGACAGATTAGATTAGAGCAGGGTTTCTCAACTGTGGCAATTTAAAGATGTGTGGACTTCAACTCCCAGAATTCCCCAGCCAGCAAAAATGTTCCAGCCCATGCATCTTAAAGTTGGAAAAGTTGAGAAACACTGGATTAGAGGTTATACTACCCAACTCATAGGGAGCACAGCGTCCCAATGGTTAAGACACTAGGCTGTTGATTGGAAGGTTGGTAGTTTGAGAACCAACTACTACTACTGTGTGATGGGGCGAGCTCCCGTCCTTGCCCCAGTTCCTGCCAACCTAGCAGTTGCATGCAGATGCAAGTAGATAAATAGGTATCATTTTGGTGGGAATATAACAGCATTCCATGCACCTCGGTGTATAGTTGTGCCAGCCCCCTGATCATCGAAATGTCTTTGGACAATGCTGGCTCCCGCAGCTAAGAAGCAAGGATGAGTTCCCTAGAGCCAGACACGACTGGTCAGGGAAAACTTCACCTTTTTTTAAAAAAACTGTATGACCATGGGCTGCATACATCAATAAAAACAAACTCCAACAAATAGGTAACTCCAACAAATAGGTCCAGTAAAACAAACCACAACTACACATATAATAATATATATGGCATAACTTAAAAGCAAAGTTTATTTATAAGGAAAGGAATGCAGCTGTTAATCTGGAAAAATGTAGTGCCTTGGACCATATGGCAAAATGTAAATTCCTATCACAACGTATATTTGTTCCACCTTACCACCTGGTGGGATGCCACTTCCAATTTGGTAAAAGGCTCCATCTTCCACACTTCTCTGCCTCCCAAGGATTATTATTTTTCTCATGTGATCCTGAGGATTCATGCTGTTGAAGAATGCAATTGATCATCACCAGGAATCAGTGAAATGGAAATGTGCTGAGAGAAAGCAATTATAACCCAAACATCAGAGGAATATAAATAATATAATACAGCTGATATAAAAAAGACCCTACACATTTCCTTGTTCCATAACTCTGCATTGATGGGACATTGTTAGAGCTATCAATAGTGTCTAAAAAGACTAAATTCCTTGTTTGCATCTTACACATGAAAACCCCTGGCATTTTAGTCTGCAGGTTGCCATAAAAATAGAACTGTCTTCTATCTATTAAGCCCCGTCACTTAATTTTGACTGCCCACATCCTCTTCCAACCTTCAGCATTATTTCCAGTCTTTCAATAGGACTTTTACAGTAAAGTTAACAGGTAACTGAAAAGAACTCTTCAATGTTTTGATGTTTCTCTCTATAGATTAGGAAATAGTTAAGAATGTGAAGTAAAACAGTGTTTCCCAACCTCAGCAATTGCAAGATGTGCAGCTTTCAACTCCCAGAATTCTCCAACCTGCATGCTGGTTGGGGAATTCTGGGAGTTGAAGTCCACACATTTTAAAGCTACTGAGGTTGAGAAACATGAAAAAGGTGCCAGCTGTCACGGCCTGGCTTCATGTAGGAGTCGATACTAATCCTATTCTGTAAATCCTAGCAGTGCAGCACATTATAGGGATGAAATCAAGTTAATCACTCCTTTTAGAGTTTTACCCTGAACAAACCCTTCTTGGCAGCAGGTAAAACCATTCATCCACTGGTAATTCTGTCACAGTTGGTTAAGCAAAGAATGGAAGTATGACATCTTTGCGGACTAAAACTAGCTGTGTACAGTTAATGATGCTTTGCAAACCAAGGGAGAATAAAGAATAGGCTGGTGCAAGTGCAATTGTGTACAAGTAAAGGTCAGAAATAAACGTTTAAATTTTTGAAAATCTTGTCCTTCAGTATAAGGATGGGAGTTTTAACTGCCTTCTAGAGCAGTGGTCTCCAACCTTGGCAACTTTAAGACTTGTGGACTTCAACTTCCAGAATTCCTTAGCCAGCAAAACAGAATTCCTTAGCCAGCAAAACTGGAAACCCCTGTATTAGAGACAAACTGTTCCACTGGTTAATTGTTCTCACTGAACTGTTGTTGGGAACTAGGAATCTGCAGAATGAATACTCCCAACCTGGCAATTTCCATCTGTGGTGGACTTCAACTACCTAATCTTTAGCCAACAGCACACTGGACCAGGAGAGGTTACTTAGATGACTAAAGGCCCATTTATGAAGTTATAATATAGGGCAATCCTTGGTAGTCTACTGGTTTAATTCTCTTGGTCTACTGGTACAAAAAATATCAAGTAAGAAAACTGGGCATCCTTATCTTCTGTCTCTTTGGATAGAGAGCACTAGGTGAAGAGACCAATGCTTTGGGGTTGACGATGCAGCAATTAAAGCAAGTAAATTTTTAAAATAAACTCACAACATACTGAACCCACAAAATAGCCAACTATCTTTTAACCTAGCGCGTTCTGTGAACTCATGAAAGCAGTTTATATTTTGGTATGTTGTTTGAACCTACAAAATTAGATTAAATTAAATGGATTCAGAAATCATTTCGGCAGCAACCCAGAAAATAATTAGGTTATGCATGTGTGGTGTGTATGTATGCACATGCACAAACACAATGTAACACATGCACCTATAAGGTTTATTTAAAACAGTTTGGTTTTGGTTTTCCTTAGATGCATCACAGTAAGCTGTATAATGGGAATGGTACAATTTAGAAATGTGTGGTAGGAAAAGGATCTAGAGGTAAGTTCCTACCGGGAATGTTAAGTTTGGAGAATAATGGAGACCAGACATCTGACCAGTGACTTCAACTCTTTAATAACAGTAGATAGAACAGAACAGAGCAAGGCTATGGGCAGCAGTAACCCTTTTATAGGGTTGGCTGCTACCCTATTGACCAATAATATGTGCAACAAGTTCAACTAATACCCAATAAGAAGTGTCCTAATATTGGCCAATCAGGGACTTGTTATGGACCAATCCTTGTTCGTTGTTTAAGGACCAATCAGGTGTGCAGGCTTTCAAAACCTGCTTTGCATTTGGGCTTAGTTACTTTTTATCGATTCACAACAGGGAACTTCTCCAGGTCTGTAGAAAACTAGCCAAAAATGGACTGCCAAATCATACCTGTAAGACGTTTCCAAAAAATGGCAAAATAAGGTGGGAATCAAATTGCAAGGCTTCTATGATGTGAAATGTTGCTGTTTGTTTGTTAAATTACTCCCAACCTCCAAATCCATCAAAAATGAACCAAACATTTTTAGACTCGCTATCTGGATTTGCTTGCCCCTCTACATGCTGGAGTTAATGTGTTTAAACCACTATAGCTAGAACAAAATCCAGATAAATTAGGTATATTTAATGCCTGTGGAAAATAGTCATGTACTATAATCAACAAGTCATCATGCAGACATGCATTTAATTTATTTATACCCTATTTTGCCATTAGCATTAGTACCGTACTCAAAATAGTTTGAAATAAAATAAAATAATAAAATAATATTTATAATTATTAAAACTTCCCTTATTAGCTGAGTAGCGTTAGCCTGAATAAAATATATATTTTCATATCAGAAAAAAAACAAGAGCAATGGAAAAAGCTTATCCTTCTTTGCAGGGAATTCAAAAGCCTTCTAAAAAGGACAGAGGTTTAGAAGAAATTAATTAGTATAGAACAGACAATGGTGTCTGAAATATTTTACTTTCAGTTCTAAAAAAGCTTGCTTCCAAATATATTGTATAAACTTTAAAGGTTAAAGGTAAAAGATTAGAATACCTAAAGAACAAGCAGAAATACAATATTTATACACCTGCTTTGCTTGTGTTAAATAACATTCCACATCTTTTCTCATTTCATCAAGCTGGTTTACATCATGAAAAATAATACATATAATTAAAATGAGAGCTACAAATAATCCTGAAATATAGTCATTCTGTTGGTCATCTGGTAGATGCAAAGCTATATCAATTTGTTTAATAAACAGACATTGTAATAATCAAACAAAAATTAATGTGATTGAAATGCCTCTCTGTTACAGTCCCTGATGTGAAATAAACACTTTCCTGAGACTATGTTAAAATTACTGACATTGTTATTACATGGCTGTCCCACATGTAAGTTATGGTTGATTGCATATACTTACAGCAGTTGTCACTACCTTCGTTTTGAAACCAGTGAAGTGTATATAGAAAAATGCTGGATCTGTGCATTCACTCTGGTTGGCAGGATTGAAAAGGCATTGCAAAGTCAAAACATTCTGAACAATGACTTTGATATAAACCCAAACTCAGCTTATTTGGATTACTCTCTATCCTTACTTTTAAGTCCTCTTGATTCTGACATCAGAAGCTCTTTTCCCACATCATCTCCTCAGCCAGCAGAAACAGAACAATGTAATTATAAGTCAAACATCCCACTGATCTGATAAACCTATTTTGATATTTAACCTGTTAAGCTGTTAACAGCCATCAAAGCCCTTAATGCATTCACAGAAAATAGTAATTGTTGCAGAAATTCTGCAGTCCGCTGTGGAAGAATGATCACAGTGGCTTATTTGTCTTCCACAAATTCCCCCCCTTTAAAAAGAAAAACAATGTGATTTGCCAAACAACAATTCTGATGTCCTTGTTTGCTTATCCCACTGAGTAGGAAAGATTAAAAACTCGTTGAGTATCCTGAAAAACAAACAAAAACTGAAAGGTTACAGCTATTTGCTCTTTAGGTCTTATTGCTGGTTGGTTACCAGCTCTCTGAAGTGTTTGAGGGAATCTCTTCAAGAGAAAAAAAAATAGATTAAAAGATTCATTAGAATGTCAAAATCTAAGATTAGTCAGGAATTTTGAGAATCTGTGAATGATGCAAGCACTCACAAACTGGCTATCATGAGAAGTTTACTTATTCAGAAAAGATCCCTCTATCATAGATATTGATACCATCCTTGTACAAGTAGCCTTCGACGTACGATGACAATTGAGCCCCAAATTTATATTGTTAAGTAAGACATTTGTTAAGTGAGTTTTTGCCACATTTTATGACCTTTCTAGCCACAGTTGTTAAGTGAATCATTGCAGTTGTTAAGATAGTACCACGGTTGTTAAGTGAATCTGGCTTCCCCATTGACTTGGCTTGTCAGAAGGTCGCAAAAGGTGATCACATGACCTCAAGGCACTGCAACTATCATAAATGCCAGCCGGTTGCTAAGCATCCAAATTTTGATCACATGATCAAGGGGTTGCTACAAAAGTGGTAAGTGTGAATAATGGTCATAAAGTCACTTTTTTCAGTGCCGTTGTAACTTTGAATAGTCACTAAATGAACTGCTGTAAGTTGAGGACTACCCGTATGTAGGATCTCTGGGGATTCGAAGTAGAAGGTCATGACATATTATTTATTTTTTATTATGATTAAAAAGATATTTTAACAATATCTGTGATAAAGCACCTGTGGGGCTGCAGGAGAAATATTTGCCGTAAGTACAGTGAATTTCTACCCATGGACGTTGTGTAGCCCATGAAGTTCTGGTTGGAATAGGATAAAATAAACATGGTGGAACAATTGTTCTTTGCCTGATACACACGCCTTAGGATTAAATAACCTTCTCTACATGAATAGAGAATGTAGATGGCATTGGTGGATTCTTCTAGAAGAACAAGGGCATCATTCTTGGCACTAGATGGGTTATAGCTTGCATAACATATTAATAACATGGTTGTCCAACTTTTTGGCTTGCCTGGCACTTTAGTTTTGAGTTAACATAGCTTAACCCAGACAAATGACACTTATTCTTTAAACCTAATAAAAAAGCCATTGTAGCCATGGGTTGGTAGATTTATGCCTTCCCTTTACTTCCTGGAAATCAAAGGTATTGATCACATCATATTCCATCCTCCTATATTTTTTCCCCTGCACCTACAACCCTGCATAATTGAGAGACAATGGT